CGTAGTGAGACGAAGAGATTGATATATTGTTAGCTCAAAACGGATAATGAGTGAATGAAAAATTGATTCTCAAAGTAGACCCATTTGAGTTGGAAAAATAAAGGGAAAAAATGAAGCTTTTGTCCCACATTAGTTTGGGAAGTGAGTTTGCACCACTATTTATACAAGAGTCTTTCTAAGATTTATTGAATTGTATAGTATAAAGACTCTTTATTGTGTACAAGGGGGGTGTAAATCAAATTCCCAAACAAGCTTGATTTAGGCTTGACTTATCTATGCTGCCACTTGCGGGTTTGAGATTAAGTTATGCCAAGTTTCAGTATCATGAGAAGGTATGAGCGAATGCAACCATTCGATGATTTTGACCGCATTCATCTGTTACGGAACAATTAATAATTTTTTAAATTCAAATTTAAGTCTCAGATAATAGGCTGTTGTTTCAGATATTAGTCGTTCGAGACGATTCGATGATTTTGATCGTTTTGGAATTAAATTCATCTGTTACGAAACATTCTTTTAAATTCAAATTTAAGTCTCAGATAATGCGCTGCTGTTTTAGATGTTACAATCTGGTTTTGTACCAGTTTAAATGCCATGTGATCAATGCTATTTAATTCTAACAATCCTATATAACAGTGGTAGAGCAGCAAATTTTACACACAAAAAAATATTGTTTTTCTCTCTCGAAACTCTGCTTCTACTCCTTTCTTGCTACTATGTTCTAAATTTTGCTCTAATTCGTCGGGTTCTTTGTTTGGGTGCTCAAACAATTGAACCGTAGTACGTTTTATCCTGGGAAACCTAGGCTACAACGCTCCTAACATTTGTGGGAGGTAGCAAATAAGGTTTTAAGGAAATAGTGTTTTTCTCGACTCGTGCTAACCATCAATCCGAACCTACACCGTACCCCTTCGTCATGTCCTTCACAAAATTTCCATAAAATAATAATCCTTTTTCATAGGATTATTATTGGATTTTTCCAACGCATTTTTCTACAGTCTTAAAACCTTATTCCTTGTTTTCCCATTGGTTTTATCTCTAAATTCCTTGAAGAAATGGAGAACCGCGTACTGCCAATTCATGGTGAGGAGAATGTTGTTGAGAACAACAATGGTGAGAATGGCAACAACGTTGCACTTTCCCAAACACCACCAGTGAACGTTGGTTCACAAGATGGTGGGAGCACCGAGGGTACATCTCTACGATGCGGGTACCTACGGTACCAAGTGATTCGTCCGAAATACCGGAGAAGTAAATTTAATGTAGAAATTTGAAATTTATCGGAGAATTATAAAACTAATAATTTTAATATAATTTTTAAAGGGAAAAGGAATAATATAATATTGTTGAATAGAAATACGAATTTTAATATTGTTGTATTGTATTAGGAATAGGAATTTTAATATTGTTGTATTGTATTAGGAATAGGAATTTTAATGTAGGATTGTAGTACAAATAGGAAAGTAGGAAACAATATATTCTTTTTGGAATTGTATTACACTATTTTATAATATTGGAATGAGAATTTTAATGTAGAATTGTAGTACGAATAGGAAAGTAGGAAATAATATATTCTATTAGGAATTGTTTATTTTTTTTCAAAGGGTACTTAATTCATATTCTATTAGGAATTGTATTACACTATTTTACAATATTAGGCAAATCGTAATTGTATAGGACTGTTTTAGGTGGGAAGTTAAAATGTAGGACTTTGTTTTTATATATAGTACTAGTTTTTTTTACGCGTTGGGATAATGCCCAATGATTATTTTTAAATAAGTAATTCAAAGTTTATCAATGTAATATTATATAGGAGATGTTAATGCATAAGTAAATAAATATTTAATTTGTTTATTTAAATTGGTAATTTAAAGTATATAAATGCAAGATAATATATGAGAGATTGATTATAATTGTCACTAAAATAAATGTTTGCAACTTTGTAATAACGCTAGTCTAAATACTAAGTATAAAAGCAATAGTCTAAATAAATACTACTTTTGGCTTAGATTTCTCTAATTCTTCTTAATTCTCTTTTGGGTATCACTGTCATTGTCTTCATTCTTCAGTACTTTTTTTTTTATTGGTATGTCATGTGCAATTGGGTTACTGTTGGTAGCATAGATGGATTCATCGTGCAATGAGATTATGGTGTAGGAAGCTTTAGATTTAATTTGCCTTGTTGTGTATTTGACTGAGATTTTAGTTGTACTATGAACTCTTTATCTTACAAGTACCTATTGATATTTGATAGTGGTAGATTTTCCCTTACATGTTTCATGTGTTGTTAGATGTGTGTCATAGGGTATCATGTGAAAGTATTGAACAAAATATTAATATTTATTATATTTATATAAAATACTTGGTAAACAAATATATATAACATATTTTGTATTATAACTTTGATATTTAATTACAAGATAATATTATAAAAAAAAAACAATTGCCAATGTAGTGAATATAATAAATTAATAAATTTGAAGGTAAGGAATCTTTGAATTGTAGAAAATAAAGATAATATAACTAATGAAATTATATATCTTTTTAAATTTTTTATAATGAATTTTTTTTTTTAAATAAAGGCATTATAGGGATTCTAAATTAATTAAATGTATATGTATTAATTTTTTTTGAAGCTACTAATTTATTTAATTTAATTTAATAAGAGCAATAAAGTGAAGTACATACATTTCATCAACAATAATGAAATCATTGAATTTTAAAATTTCCATTCGTTTTTTAGACAAATTGTTTTGAGAGTTTGTCAATGACAATTGCAACAATTCCTGTCAATAAAGGATGATAATAAATAATTCAAAATATATGGTTACAATAGATATATTGTTATAATGGTATAGTAAAAATTAACTTACAAATTTCTTTAGAACTTTTCATGCATTGATAAAATTCTGATGTGTAAACTTGTTTAATTGGAGCCAGTGAGATGTCAACATTGTCAATTCTTTGAAAAATGGTCCTACCGTTTTAGAGTTCAGGTGTAATTGTATTTATAGTCAACAACTTTGTAGTTAGGTCGCACATGTCTGACAATAATGTAAGAACAATTTTATCCGATAAAAAAATAATAGCATAATATTTGTAAAGTAATGTACAATTGCACCATTAAAAAAATACATACAAAAAATATTAATATCATAATGACCTAAACCATTCCAATAATGCAAAAGCATAATTGAAATATTAAGTTTTGTTCTAAATAATCAAAAGAAGAGTAATTAATCAACCAAAAAAAAAACAAAAAAAAAAAAAAAACAAAAACTTAACCTAAAATTGATTTTTTTTTTTAAAAAAAAAATGCAAGAAAATCAAATGATTTTTAAATTTACTGATTTATAATCTTTGATTCTCAATTTTGAATGCTATGTATTTAGTAGGGCTAATTATTTGACAAAAGTTTATGTTAAATTATATATTATATATTTTTAATACATTTTAACACATTAGTAGTATATGGCCCTGTTTGGTAAAACATTGGCCTATAGGTCAATTTTGGCTTATTTGACCAATATTAATTGTTTGATTTAGTTAAAATATTAATATAAGTGTTTTGTTAATTACCTTTTTGCAACTCCAAAATGCTAAAATTCAAAAAGCTACTCCAAGCAACTTTTTCAATTAGCTTTTTGAGAAAAGAAATTATACCAAACAGCTATCAGCTAACAGCTAATTTACCAAACATCTTTTTACAATCAGCTAATGTTATTAACTAGTTATACCCTCTAATTAACACAACCAGCTAACAACTATCCGCTAACAACCATTTACCAAACAAGGCCTATGTTTAACAATTATGCCAACTCTAAATGGGATGGAGTTCGAACCTAAGATTTTTCTTATAGAAATTAATGAGTAATTTAAAGAATAATATGTTGGAAAAAATAGCTTAAAATGACATGTTAAGTGACTATTTTGTGGTACAATTATCAGTGGGGGTACAATTATCAAAGTGGATTCGGGTTCTTCGTAGTGAGACGAAGAGATTGATATATTGTATGCTCAAAACAGATAATGGGTGAATAAGATATTGATTCTCAAAGTAGACCCATTAAGTTGGAAAAATGAAGGGAAAAAGTGAAACTTTTGTCCCACATTGGTTTGGGAAGAGGATTTTCCCCACTATGCTGCGGTAAACGTCTACCGGTGCGGTACGTTATGCTGCGGTAAACGTCTACCGTTTCCGGAACGGTACATGCCTGTACAGTTCAGCTGTTATGGATTTAATTTCATATTAATTCCAATTTTGAATTACAGAATTAATTCTCAGGTTAGTGGTGCTGTTACATGGGTGTTTTAATGTCATTTTATAATGCTATTGCATTCCGTCACCCCTATAGAAGAGAGGGTAGAGCAGCAGAATTTTATAATAACGAAAATCATATTTTCCAGCCCCAAAACTCTCTGCTTGTACTCCATTCTTAGCCTTCTGTGTTCAGAATCTTGGTCTAGTTCGCCGGGTTCACTCGTTTGGGTAGTCAAACGTTGAACCGTAGTACGTTTTATCATGGGAAGCCTAGAATACAACGCTCCGAGCACTTGTGGGAGGTAACAAATTAAATAAGGTTTTAAGGAAAGAGTGATCGTTTGACTCGTACTAAAAACCCTACACCAAACACGAGCCCATCTCTTCATCTTTCCCTTCCCTTTTTCTACAGAAAATAATAATCATTATTTTTGTAGGATTATTATTCGTTTTTACCAATGATTAACAAGCATAATAAATAGTTAACGAAATATTCCGTTACTAAAGTTTATACTAACGGAATTTAAGGTTATTTAAGGAAAGAAAATAATATAATAGAAGGTAAATAAGGAAAAACATAATAAAAAAAATACTAAAATCTAAATAATATTAACCATTTATTTAAGAAACAATTACACCAACATTTTTTTGTTCCAGGACTTAATATTATTGACTCTTATTAGATTTGTAGATAAATTTGATAGGCTTCAATCATAAAAGAGTAAGAAATCGAAACATCTTAGTAAAGATGGGTGGGAAGCCTAGGCTCAATGTTGAAAGACAAAGGAAATTTTGGATGAGTAGTCAAGCCATAAACCTCTTCCATGGATATATCCTCTAGCCTCATGTCTTCCTCCAATTTCCATTTAAATCCATGTAATAGATTGGCTAATGTTGTTCGAACAACCTTCATTCCAAGACTATACCCAGGACATCGTCTCCTACCTGACCCAAATGGTAAAAGTGCAAAATCTTGTCTATTTATATCAGCATCTCTCTCTAAAAATCTTTCGGGAAAAAACTCATCAGCCTTGTCCCAATACTTAGGATTCCTGCCTATAGACCACGCATTAACTAGAACAGTTGTTCCACTTGGTACCTCGTACCCAGCCACATTGCAATCTTCCATGGAATAATGGGGTGGGAGCAATGTGCAAAGTGGATGCAACCTAAACTTTTCTTTGATGATTGCTTCCATATATGGTAGTTGCGAAAAGTCTCTCTCTTCTACCCATCTCTCCCTTCCAATCACTCTATCCAGCTCCTCCATCGCCTTTTTTATGATCAGTGGCTTTCTAATCAATTCTTGAAATGCCCATTCCACTGATGCTCCTGATGTATCTATGCCACCCGCGAGCATATTCTAGCAGAGTCGAGAAGGAAAGCAGACGATCAAAAAACTGAATATTTAGGAATACAGTTAATTTTATTTTTACTTTTTTTTTTTTCAAAACATCCTCGTATGAACCTTGACCTTTGGTTAAGAATGGATGAGTCCATTTTACTCAACAACACCCCAAGGTTGGGCAAATTATGCTGTGAAAACGTGCCCACCTTGCATTTCAGGCAATACAGAAGATGAAGCTGCATAAAGAAGAGGCAGTTAGCCTCAACCAACTTAGAACTACCTACAGTTAGATTAGTTGGTAAAAATCAGATTAGTTAAATCTGTTATTATCTTTTTTTATGTTATATACTTCTCCTTTCCTTAGTATACAATGTCCATATAAAAACTATCCTCAAGTTCTCTCTGAAATAACAAGTTAGTATCTCTTTGTTTCAAACATCTTCTTTCCAGTTACCTTCTTCTCCTTCCTTCCGCGACATGGTATCAGAGCCAAGTTGAGTAGATCTCTATGGCAACAACAGCGTCGCCAGCTATTGGCACAAGGACCACTCCGATGGACAGCGGAGCAGTAGGAGCGCCGGGAATTGGAAATTCGACGCCAACATTGCATACTTCGACAACCTTTATCGAACACGACGGAAGTGACGTATGATCCGGAATCCCAATCGAATCCGTACTTTCTGCATCCCAATGAAAGTCCAGCTTTGATGCTCTTTTCTGTTCCCTTGGACGGTTCGAATTACCATCCTTGGGCGGGAGCTATGACAATGGCGTTGTCCTGTAAGAATAAACTGAGATTGGTCGACGGTTCAATTCTCACACCCCCCCAGAGATGATCGGAAGTACGAAGTCTGGGATGGATCATTCGATCGCTATCGCCAACAGTTGGACGCAACGTACTCTGGATCGACACTGCGTATGGCATATGGAAAGACCTAAAACGAAGATTTAGCCAACAAGACCTGTTCAGAATCACAAAAATTAAATGCGAGATTTACCAAACCAAACAGGGTGATAATAGTCTGAATGAGTATTTTACTCAACAGAAATTGCTATGGAATGAGCTTCAAATACTCAGACCAACCATCATTTGTCAATGTGCCGTGAAATGTGAATGCGGGAAGAAAATAGATGAGCTAAATGAACAAATTGAAAAGGATAAATTGTCCATATTCCTTGTTGGTCTTCATGACAGGTATACGGGTGCAAGGAACCAAATGATGCTTATGAGACCTCTTCCAGATTTTTGTGAGGCATATTCCATGATAGCTCAACAAGAAAGATAATTCCATATGGGGTCTACTGGATTTACCAGCCAATTACATCTGGCTGGTGAGAATGAAGCCACTGGAAGTGCTTTAATGACCAGGGCAGGTGGTGGTTTTCAACAGAATTACAAGAAGTTCACAGGCAACAACAAGAAACCTGTGTGCACCTTTTGTGGCTACACAGGACATACAGAGGATAAATGCTATAAGAAGCATGGGTACCCACCTGGTTGGAAGCAATCCAGAAATCAAGGCATGGTGAACCAAACTCAATGGCCATTGGTAATTCAGCAACCAAGCAGTGGCGAAATCTCATTCACTCAGAATGATTTCAAGAAATTCTTGGAGTTTGTGGGGAGAAGGGATCCTTGAGTACACCTCTTGACCAACCAAATCAAGAAGCACATGCCAACACAATATCTGCCAATCTCATGCCTGGGGCTCAAATTGAAGGTACTATCCATCCCACTAACTCTGCAAATTCTAGAAGTTATGAGTGGATATTGGATAGTGGTGCCACACATCATATAGTATGCTGTTTAAGTCTATTAACTAATCCAAAGGAGGTGCAAAATATGCATGTTAGTTTGCCTAATGGACACCAAGTGGACATCACTTACATTGGTTCTGTGATTCTGTCAGATGAATTCATTCTGCACAATATCCTATTTGTTCCTGGATTTCAATATAACCTTATATCTATGGGAGCATTCATTAGGAGTTCTAGTTGTACTATACAGCTACACAGTGATAAATGCATAATACAGGGAGTTATCCATGGCAAGATGATTGGACTGATTGAAGTCAAGAATGGCTTGTATCACCTGATATGTCCTGTTAGATCACATGTAAATAGTGTTTCTATGTTGAATAAATGTGCCGCCCTATGGCATGCTAGGTTAGGGCATGCCTCATATGCCAAGATTCAATTGTTGCATGATGTAGATTCAACTATACAAATGAATAAAAGTTTGATTTGTGACTGTTGTCATTTTGCAAAACAGAAAAGACTCCCTTTCCAGCCTAGTAATTTTATCTCTATTGCTTGTTTTGACATGTTACACATGGACATTTGGGGGCCCTATAAAGTTTCCACCATTCTTGGTCATCGGTATTTTCTTACCATAGTTGATGACCACAGTAAAGCAGTATGGGTGCACTTGATGAGGAAAAAGTCTGAGGTCAGGGGTTTGATTGTGGGATGTTGCAGAATGGTTAAGAACCAATTTGGAGTGCAGGTGAAGATCATCAGATCAGATAATGGCTTAGAATTTGACATGTCTGATTTCTTTAGCCAAGAAGGGATAGTACATCAAACCTCTTGCATCTACACACCTCAACAGAACAGTAGAGTTGAGAGAAAGCATGGTCATCTCCTATCCACAGCTAGAGCTCTCAGGTTCCAAGCACACCTGCCAGAAAGTTTTTGGGGAGAATGCATCCTGCATGCAGCCTACATCATTAATAGATTGCCATTTGCTACAATCAATCAACAAATACCTTATCAGGTTTTACTTGGAAAGTCTCCTCAGTATCAGCACTTAAAAGTCTTTGGCTGCCTAGCATATGCTACCACTTTAGGTCCAAAGTTGAAATTTTATGCAAGGGCCAAGAAGTGTATATTTCTGGGATATGCTAATGGAACCAAAGGTTATAAACTATATGACTTATATTCAAAGGCTATCTTCTTGTCCAGGAATGTGAAGTTCTATGAAGATATCTTTCCTTTCCAGTTAACTGCAAATCCTGAGAAACAACCCCCTCAGATCATTCTTCCAGGTGATACCTCAGCAAGATATTTAGATGACCTACAAAGATCTTCACAAACTGCTCCTGACAATTCTCAAAGTCAGTCATATACTGAACTCCATAATGCCCAGGATCAGTCACATGCCAGTAATCCTGATGAGTCAATTGAACAATCTCATGATGATGACAATGAACAAACTGTGGTGCACCAGGCAGAAAACCACCAGTAATTCTGATGAGTCAATTGAACAATCCCAAGCTTACTTAAAGGAGTATATCTGCCACAGTTTTGCTGTTAGGACTTCTCCCCATGACATATCAAAGGTGGTCAATTACAATAAACTCTCACCCTATTTCACTTCATTTGTCATGAATATTGCTTATCTTGTTGAACCTAGAAGCTACAGAGAAGCAATAAAACATGATTGCTGGAGAAAGGCAATGGAGGATGAACTCACAGCCTTAAAAACCAACAATACATGGGAATTGGTAGATCTGCCAGTATTCAAGAAACCCATTGGTTGCAAATGGGTATACAAAATCAAGCATAGGGCTGATGGAACCATTGAGAGATACAAAGCAAGGTTGGTGGCTAAAGTTTATACACAAAACCTTGGCATTGATTATCTGGACACCTTTAGTCCAGTGGCTAAGATGACAACTATCAGGGTCCTTCTAGCTGTTGCAGCTGCAAAAGAATGGCACCTACATCAAATGGATGTGAATAATGCCTTCCTTCATGGGCACCTAGAAGAGGAAGTATACATGGAACTCTCTCCTGGATACACAGAAGGGAAAGATGGAAGGTCTGCAGGTTAATAAGGTCCTTATATGGCCTTAAACAGGCAAACAGACAGTGGAACAACAAGCTCTGTGCAGCATTGTAGAGTATGGGTTTCAGGCAGTCTGTATCTGACAACTCCTTATTTACCAATGGGGAAGGCTCAGCAGTCATTGCACTACTGTTTTATGTAGATGATATAGTGGTGGCCAGTGCTGATCTAAGTCTAATTCAACAAATCAAGGTTCAGCTTAACAGTCAGTTTCAAATTAAAGACTTGGGGCAACTCAAATACTTCTTAGGCCTAGAAGTGGCCAGACAGAAAAAGGGGATTGCTATTTCCCAAAGAAAATATGCCTTGGAATTATTGGAAGAAGCTGGTTTCCTGGACTCAAAACCTGTCCATAGTCCTACAGTACCTTCCCAAAAACTAAGTGCAACTGAAGGTGAGATCCTTGATGATAATACACAGTACAGAATGATCATTAGAAAACTCTTGTATCTAACTATTACAAGACCTGATATATGCTTTGCTACACAACAGCTATCACAGTTTTTGGATAAGCCCACACATTTGCATCTAGAAAATCAGTAACTGGATTTTGCATCTTTCTTGGCCAGGCCTTGGTATCTTGGAAGTCAAAGAAGCAAGCCACAGTGTCCAGATCCTCCTCAGAAGCAGAATATAGAGCATTAGCTATCACTACCTGTGAAGTGCAATGGTTGCTCTACCTTCTTGCTGACTTTAGACTACATCATGATGAAGCTGCTGCTTTTTATTGTGACAGTGAGTCTACAATAGCTATCTCTGAGAATCCGGTCTTCTATGAGAGGACCAAACACATTGAGATAGATTGTCACTTGGTCAGAGAGAAGCTGCATAAAGGAATGATTAGATAATTTCACATTGCCTCTGAAAATCAGCTAGCAGACATACTAACCAAAACTCACTGTCCAAGCTCTTTTCATAGATATATTTCCAAGCTGGGATTGATCAATCTATACAATCCAGCTTGCGGGGGGATTTCAGGCAATACAGAAGATGAAGCTGCATAAAGGAGAGGCAGTTAGCCTCAACCAACTTAGAACTACCTACTGTTAGATTAGTTGGTAAAAATCAGATTAGTTAAATCTGTTATTATCTTTGTTATGTTATATACTTCTCCTTTCCTTAGTATACAATGTCCATATAAAAACTATCCTCAAGTTCTCTCTGAAATATCTAGTTAGTATCAACATCTTATTTCTAGTTATCTTCTTCTCCTTCCTTCCGCGATATTGCAAGGTGGGCACAGTTTCACCAACGAAAACGACGTCGTTCTAATTATAAAAAAAAATTTGTTTTTCACTTACCATTAACGACGTTTCTCTCTTCGCAATTGCACAGTTTAGAAATTATGAATTTACTGTATTTAAATTATGAATCTACAGTATAGAAATTATGAATCTACAGTATTAGGTTTGTGAACATGTGATAGAGCTATCTGTTCATAATTTTATAAATATATGTTCATAATTATAGAGTTATATGTTCATAATTTTCAATGTTCATATTCTCAATTGTTGAACTCTGTATTCACTAATCACAAAACTATATGTTCATAATTTGATAACTATACAATTTAGAAATTATGAATCTACAGTACAAAAATTATGAATCTACAGCACAAATATTATGAAT